TCACAAATAGATGACACTGAATAAAAACTAAAAACAAGATAACATTTATTGGGATACAGCTAAAGCACTGAAGAGAGTACACTTAAACCTAATTGTGGAAAAGATCTTAAATCAATAATCAAGCTGCACCTTAAGAGAAAAAAATAAAGTAAAAAAACAAGCAAAGGAAGGGAATAATCAGATGAAATAGAAAAAATAATAATAATTTTTTAAAATACAAATGAAGCCAAAGATTGGTTCTTTGAAAACATCAACAAAATTATTCAATCCTCAGCTAAAAATGACTAAGAAATTCCAGAAATTAACAAAATTAAAAATTTTGCTCACTGATCTTCAAAAATTAAAAGGATTATAACAGAATACTATAACTTTATGCCAACAAATAAAATTTGTTGGCATAAACATATTTATTTATAAATATGCCAACAAAATAGGAAGTTAAGTAAAAAGATCAAACTCCTAGAAAGAAAAATTGAATCAAGAAGATACAGAAAACATAAGTAAGAATATAGCTAGAAAATAAGTCATTAAAGATTTTCTCACAAAGAAGTCCAAATGGCTAGACTGGTAAATCCTACCAAATATTTAAAGAATAACATCAAACTTAAAAAACTCTCTTTAGAAAATAGAGAAGAATGCAACACTTCCAAATTCATTCTATGATCCTGATACTAAAAGATCTCTTTCTCTTACTTCTATCTGTATGTATGTCCATTTGTCTGTTTCTCTCTCTCTCCCACCCCTACACACAAACACACCAAAAAAAAAAAAAACATACACAATTCAAAATCAGATAAAATCTTTAACAATGTGTTAATACACTGAATACTAGAACACATATTAAATATCAAGTCAGATTTATGCTAGAAAGTCAGTATAATGTATAAAGAGTAACTAACATATTCTGCCATATAGGAAGAATAGAGAAAAAAAATTAGATCACATTGGTATCTCAGTAGACAAAAACATACACAAGGGCATTTGACAAAACCCAACATACAGTATCAAACTTCTCAAAAACTCTGAGTACTTACTCAACCTGATAAAAAGTACCTGCAAAATATCTATAGCTAACCTCCTGCTACAGATAAACACCAATTCTACTCAAAATGGAGGGTTTTAGCCAGTACATTAAGGTAAAACAAGATTTAAAAATCACCCAAATAGTGGCCACGGTGATGCACCTCTAATCCCAGTGACTTAGAAGGCTGAAGCAGGAGGATCTCAGGTTCAAAGCCAGCCTTACCATCTTAGTGAGGCTCTAATTACTGAGATCCTGTCTCAAAAATTTTTAGAAAAGGGGCTAATAATGTGACCCAGTGGTTAAGCGCCCCGGGATTTTAAGTAAGTAAGAAAGACTGGGGGTGTAGCTCAGTGGTAAAGCACCATTAGGTTCAATTCCCAGTATCAAAAAAAAAAGAAACATCCACATTAGAAAAGAGTAACAATGAAGATATCCTGAAAATACACATAAAAATAACCAAAGACTAAATGAATAAATAAACAAAACCTAATGGAAATAGTTACAAAGTTTAAAAAATCCAAGATCAATATACAAACTTTTAACTATAATTCTATCCTCAAATAGAATCAGAATAACATTAAGAAAACAATTACAACTAAAATGCAATCAACATTAAGAAGGAATAAATTTAACAAAAGCGTAAGACTTGTACACTGAAAAGTACTAAAAGCTATCAAGAAAAATTATAGAACATCTAAGTAAATTAAGAAAAGCTTCCCCCTTCCTGTGATCATGGATTAGAAAACTCAATATTATTAATAATTCTACTCAACTGATATAAGATTCAACATAATGCACACTAAAATTCCAGCAGGTTATTAACAAACAGATCCTAAAGAGTGCCAAAGTAATTTGGGGAAAAAAAAGTGAAACTCAAACTCATATTTCTCCATTTTAAGAAGTAGCATAAAGCTAAACTAATCAATATGATATTGGCCAAGAGCAGAAATATGTTATTAATAAAACAGAAATAAATTATTACTATAGTCTCAACTAATTTTCAACAAAAACAAAGAAACTTATAGAGAAAAAAAAAATTCTTTACAACAACCAATATTAGAAGATTTTTCCAGATTCCTCTGCAAAAAAAAAAACTTCACACTGTAAACAAAAAGTAATCCAAAATGGGACATAACATGAGAATTAAAATGTCTAGAAAGAGACTGTGATCTTTCATCAGACAAATCTGTCTTAGATGCAAATCATGCATTGATAAGTTATACAGAATTTTTAAAAGAAACACTTTAATTCATAATAAAATAATCCAATTTTTTAGAAATAGCAAACAATTTGATTAGACTTTTTTCTAAAGATACATGAATAGCTAACAACAACAAAAAAAAGTCCAACATTATTAGTCATTTTGAAATTTAAGTCAAAACAACAAGATGCAAAATCACCAGAATGTCTAGAATAAAAGACTGAAAATAACCTAAGCACTGTTGAAAATAGAGAGAAACTAAAACATTCAAACATATCTGGTAGAAATTAGAATAGTATAGTCACTGGAAAATAACATGGTACCTTCTAAAAAGTTAATGGAGGGGCTGGGGTTGTGGCTCAGTGATAGAGTACTTGCCTAGCATATGTGAGGCACTGGGTTCAATCATCAGCACCATATAAAAATAATAAAAAGGTTTAAGAAATAAAAAGTTAATGGAAACTTTTCAAGCAACCCAGCAATTCTACTCAAAAGTTTCTAACAAAGGAGGAAAAAACACAAGTCCACACAAAGAAAAAAATATCCAAAATATCCCACCAACTGGTGATTGAATATGCCTATGATGAAAAATTATTACCCAATTAAAGAGAAAAACTAGGACATGAATGAATTTCAGAATGACATGAAAATGACAGAAGTACAAAAACAAAAAGACTACATATTAGTAGCATTTTCCAGTAAATGGATGGAACTAGAGACTCTCAATGTCAAATGAAATAAGTCAACCCCCCCAAAAAAAGGCTGAATATTCTCTCTGATATACAGATGCTGACTCAGAATAGGCAGGTAGGGTGGAGTGGAGGTTCACCGAATTGGACAGGGGAGAATAAGAATGGGAAAGACAGGGGTAGAATGAATCAGACATAACTTTTCTATGTTCATACAGTAAATACATGACCAGTATAACTACACACCATGTAAAACCACAAGAATGGATAATTATACTCCATGTATGTATGATGACAAAATACAATGTATTGTCATGTTTAAATAAAAAAGGAAGAGAGAAAAAGAGAAAGAAAGACTACATGATAGGATTCCACATACATGAAACCTCAATAAAAGGTTTCTCTCTAGAGACAAAAGTTTATCTGTAAGATAAACTTAGGAAAGAAGAAACTTTTATGAACTTTTATGAATGCTCTAACCCTCAATTAAGCTGAGAGACAACTCTAAATATTGAATACAACACTATACTCACTATATGGTATTAAAATTATATCTCAATGAAATTTCTGATTTAAAATTAAAGTAAATGACACGTAGGAAAAGGGATCATTTTGATGATTTTCATTAGGTAGTTCAAATGCCTTGCTCAGTGAATGGCACACAGTAGACATTCAAATCTTTTCTGAGTTAAAATATATATGTGGAGCATTTACTTTTCAAAAGCACATGTATTAACTGTTGACTGCCTTCTGGTACTATTTTGGACAGTTTACACCAGCAATGAATACAGGCAAACAGGATCCCTAGTATTTTTGCATGCATATTTTAATGACATGAGACAAAGAGATGCTATATAGAAAATAAAACAGGATAGGGAAGACAAGATGCCTTACAGGGTACTTGAAGTCAGGTAGTTGAAGAAGAGCTCTGAAAGAAGGCAGTTATAAAAAATGAGGCAAAAATATTAAGGTGGCTGCATGTAAAGGAAAAACAGCACTCCAGACAAGACAAAAGAATAATTGCTTGGCATGTTTAAAGGACAGAAGATGGCTATACTAGCTGAAGCATAATGAGGAATGGAACAAGTATGAGTCAGAGTACTGTCACGTGGCCAAATTGAGTAGAAGTCTCCAAAATTAGAGTAATAAGTTTAGATTTCATTCTAAGTATCACTTAATACCACCATTAGTTAAGTTTTATAAAATGTGCATACCTCTCCTATAAAAAATTTTCCAATAGGGACATTCCACAATTCTTTAATAATAATTGAATATGACCTAAAGTTAATGTCTATTATCAATGATTTAGATTTAAGCAGGAATGAAAGTGTACACCTGTAATTTCAGCTACAAAGGAGTCTGACATAGAAGGAACATAAGCTGGAGGCCAGTCTGGGAAACTTAAAACACGCTCAGAATAAAAAAAATAAAAGGCCTGGGGATGAAGCTCAGTGGTAGACTGCTTGCTTTGCATAAGCAAGGCCCTGGATTCAATCCCCAGTACCACAAGAAAAATAAAAAGATTTAAATTCAAAATCTGTTGTAATGCTTGTCAGATTCTGTACATTATATACTTGATTTCTATGCTACTATCTTATAACAATATTAAGAAGGTCTGATTGTTACCTATCTAACAATTATTTCCCAAATGCTTTAATTTGACCTTTTAGTAGACAATATGCTTTCTTCTTTGACAAACTAATTTCTATGTCCTCTACTGCTTTTGGGCAGGGTTGGGATTGAATCCAGAGGCACTCTACCAATGAGCTACAATCCCAGTCTGATTTACTGATTGATTACTTGTTTACTTTTTTATCTACTTATTTTAGCAACAGGGTCTACGTTGCAGAAGCTGGACTTGAACTTGCAATTCTCCTGCCTCAGCCTCAATCCCTGGGATTACAGGCATGCACCACCATGCTTCAGCCTTCTATCACTTATAAAGATTTTTATAATAAAAACTCCTGCCTCAGTTTAATGCTTTGCTTTCCCCAAAACTATACCCCTAAAGCCTATTAAGAATGTTAAAAAGCATTGGCATTTCAGACATTCTAGCATCTTTTGAAATACACAGGAAGGAGCTTACTTCTCCGGCATAATAAAGTGCAGCAAGGACCAGAGCTCCTTGAGGGAATTCTGAAGAGGGGTTCCCGTAATCAGGAGCCTATGGTTGGACTTGAAATCAATCAGAGTTTTATATAATAAAGAGTCATCATTCTTCAACCGATGGGCTTCATCCACTCCCAGAAAGGCCCAGTTAATACTGCCCAGCACAGTCTAAAGTAGAAACAAAACACAACGAGCCACCAAGTCAGAAAGGAACCCAAAAGTGCTTTCAAAGTGTTAATCATCTCTGTACAAATACCATCACAAAGGTGTACCTAGACACATTTATTCTTCAGTCTTAATAATAGGACTCTCAGATACATTTATTCTTCACTGATTTAGGCCTCTTCCATTTATTCGCTTAGTTTCCAGATTGGTACCTACTCAAAAGAGTATATCAGCTAAAAAGTAAAGGTGGATCTCTTACAGCAGGTACTATTACTGCATGTCCCCCCTCACAAAAAAAAAAATTGGTATGCTGAGCAAAAATAAAATAAAAACCATGATTTTGCATTTTTTTAATAAAGATTGTTTTCTTGCCTAATTAATTACCTTCCCAATTTTGAAGCACAGAAGTCACCGGATTGAATTTATTTGTACTTACTATTAACATATAAACCTCTCAGTAATATAGACAGGAGATATTTTAAGAGCTTAATTTTTCTCAGACATTTCTAGAAAAATACTTCCAACAATGATATGATGGGAAATACTCAAAATAGCAACCTAAATTCCCCTTCAACTTAAAGGTTCTGCTTTCTATTTATAACCTTAATATTCTTTGAGAAAGTTTTTTTCATTTGGCAGTACAAAAAATAACATGACAAATGGGAGTTTAAAGGCACTAGTATTTGGACAAGTCAAACTAAACAAGATTTAGCTTAAGTATCAATTACACACCTTATCTTTTAAAAGGATCTCATATGTTGTTATAAGTGCATTGAACTTGAGCCTTTTGGTTTGAGAATGAATCCATTCATATTCCCGTATCTATAAGAAAAAATGGCAATTAAGACACAATTTCTGCTTCTACCTTTTTAAATCATACAAGTCATATGACAGATGCAATAGAAACATGTCAAATAAAAAAACAAATCTAATCAGAATTTAGTAAATAGCCAATACATTCTGAATTAAGAAACCAAAGTATAAACAGTAAGAAAATTAAAACATGGATCACTAAGAAGTAAAAACTTTATTGTCAGAATTTAAATAAACTGACTAAGACATATTTGTCAAAGAAAATTCATTTAATTCATCAGCAATAGATAGTTCCCAGATCCCTAAAATTTTTTAAAAGAAAAGCCATTTAGTTATTCTTTGTGTAGGGCAATACTTTAAGAAGTACAACAAATTCTAACTTCTAGCTCTATAAAAATTTAATTTTATCATAAAATAGAGATATGTGTACCCCAAGAAAAAGAAAAGGGAGGCTTACAGGATGAAAATATAATTTATCATGAATAGGAAATAATGTCAATGTAAAGGAATACAAAAACTAACATATCTGCACAGAAGTATGACCATTCAGCAAACACAATGACTAAAGATTAAGTTCCTACAGTTTGTCAAGTTGGAAACCAGCAATCTGGACAATGAGTGCTTGCAGGAGGATCACCACCAAACAGAAAAAAAGATCAAAGAACACTTCACTAACTCATCAATCTTTCAGTTCACTTTCTTTGTTTACCTTCATCCTTAGAAACAGTGTTTAAAGCTGTTTTGCACAACGTTCTTTTTCTCTTTTAATAGTTAACAAATAATTTAACAAAGCTAACAACTACTATATTTTTAGTCCAAATCAACCCAATGAAATCTGCTAGGGTTTATAAGTTAGGCAATTTTAATCAAAGTATTTAATAAATATAAATTTGAAAGCATGACTATGTGATTATAGCACACATCTAAAATGTTTGAGGATTCCTAATGGCTTGCTCTTACTATAAGGGATCTCCCCCAAAACAAGTTTACATATAGTAGTAAAAGACGAAAGTTCTGGGACCAGATCTTCTGTGTCCCATCTCCAATTCTGCCATATTCTAGCTGGTCTAAGAACAAGTCTTCTCTGGGTTAATGTTTCTTGAGTCAGTTGGAAAGACTATCACAAAGGTTACAGGTAATATACATAAAACCCACAAAAGGCCTTGCACATGCTTTTTTAAAAGTTAGCTATTATGAAGGAAAGATCTGCTGGGCAAAAACAAATCTGCCACTGTGTTCTAAATTCATGACACCCAATATCAAATTTGCTAGCAAAATATTCTCATTTCTGCAACCCTAAAATATCCTTTGAATTTACTTCTTCTTTGTAAGTTATATAACCTCACCATTTGAAAAGGTCAGGAAACAAATTCTAAGAACATGACTATTTTCAGGAATGTATCTCTACTCAAACAATATTAACTTTATCTATAACATGTCAACACTATTTTGTAATCTTGTATCTTAAAGGTATAAAAAAGAACAGAGAAGAAAAATAACACTCAAATACAGATAAGTTCTCATTCATGTATTTACTGTTTCACTTCGTTAAACACTAATCATGTTTCAAAGAATATCTGAGCTGCGTTTATTTTTATACACAAAACTCCTAATATTAGGAATATAGCACAGTGTCACAATAATAATTTTCCCTAAGTCCTGACCAATAACTCTACAATGGGTTTAGATCAATGTCCAATATACATTTATAAGACAGATTCTATCCCAACTCTTTTTGTTTACACACCGTATTTCTGCTCATCAGGTCACCTATGTAAACCACTACGTTAATCTCTGGTGCCCAGATTTCAAACTCCCTCTGCCATGAGGTGAGGGTGGATAAAGGGACGACTATAAGAAAGGGTCCATACAGCTGGTGTTGGTGGAACAGGTAGGACAGGAATGATATGGTCTGGATGGTCTTTCCTAGGCCCATTTCATCAGCAAGAATTACACTGTTATTTCTGCAGAAAAGAAAAAAGTAAAAACAAGGCAACCATTAGTTCAAATGATTTATAGTACATTCAAGATGTGAACTACTATGAATGCCTGGTCAGACTACATTCTTTATTTTGCAGTTAGGATTATGAATTATATTACCTTCCTTAAATAATATAATTATTTTCCTGTTAATAGAGAAGGCAGAACTTATACACACATATAAGTTTATGTTTGCATCCCATAAACAGAAAATACAAGCAGACCGGTTATAGCCACTACTGGTGAATCCTACAGTCTGCCACTCACATGTCTTAGCTCAAATTACCCACACTATTCTTCTACATACTACTGGGTTAATAAAACATACACTATTCCCTAATCCAACATGCTGCAAGTGCACAGGTCTTATTTTAAATACACCACAGTCTAAGGAAGGGGTAAGCTGTAGATCAGATTTCTGAACCTCACCTACCCCTACACTAAGTGACTTTATCAAAGAAAGAAATCAGGATTCTCTCTTTTGAACAAGCACCTTTGGAAATTCTAATGCAGGTGTTCCTTAGACCATAGTTTAAGAAATACTGCTCTAAGAAATTGCCTGGATTTTAATAGGGTATTAAAAGGGGGAAAAAAATTGAAGAAACGGCTACAGTTAGGAAAGTATGTTTGGCAAATAGAAAGTAGCCCATCTGGCAGGAAATCAGGAATCTATGTATGATAAAAAGGTTGCAAATATTACTAAAAGGTTCTTTACAATAAGGCCACCTATGGTTTGTACATATATATGCTTAACCAATGAACCAGAGAGGATTAAAAGTAATAAACAGGTTCAAGGCAACTTAACTGTGTAGAAAACAAGACATTTAATTGACCAAGAAAAAAAAAATTTAAAGTACACTGTCCTCCGCTACAGAGTAGCTAGTTTTAGAAGGAAAGTACCGATAAGAACAAAGTAGACCACACTGAGACAAAGAATGAAGAAGCATACCTCTGAAATCTCAGATACACCAATTTTCTGTATAGTTTAGACAGAGTATATTCCTTGATTTAATTTCCCTCTCACTTTCCTCACCTTTCCACAATATTGAATAGGAAGCAGGGTTAAGCTTCTCCACTATTTCTTCTTCCTAACAAACTGCCACTGTCGACATACACAGACTAAAGTAGATTTGAACTGATTCACCTGTTTTTCTGAAATCAGACCAAAATATGACATTACTTAAATGTAATACTCCTAGAACCAGGGCCTAACAGCTGCTTGGGTCCTTTGCAGTTGGTTTTTAATTCTTCGGTTTGAAGTTTTTAAAAAGGCTGTCCAAAGACTGTACAAAAAACATTTTGGGACTTTGGACAAAGTACACGACACATTTGCTCCTAAGAGACCTCAACTGAAAAATAAAAATGTTAAACATAAAATTTCTTAAGGCTCCATCTAAGTTTTTACCGATGCTGTAGAAAGATCAGGAAGCACTCTCCTCTGAAAGGAAAATCATTTTCAAGCCATTAGAATGTTTTTATCAGACCCATATTCTCAGACATATGAACTGAAATTCCTTGAGATATCTGATTTTTTTAACTGAATATTAAATATTGTATTAGATTTTACAGAACAAAGTATAGAAAGTGGCTCACTCAGGAAACAGTCACTGTAAAAGTATCTCTATAACTAAAAATCTTCTTTTCAGCACTGAGAAAAAATTTACAAGTATTTATTTTTCAACTGTAGTTTAACTCTGAAATAAGGATTTCTGCCTTAGTATAAAATAATTAAGAATTTCTGAGTTGGCATATAGGGGATGGGATGTACATCAGAATTAAAGATACTTTCACACTGTACATTCCACAAGGACAGAGAAGCCATGTCTGTCTTTGTTCACTGTTAAATTCTTAAGGATTCATGGGTCCCCAGCTCTTAGTAATTAGGGTAGCAATAAAGAAATGAAAAACAGTAAACAAAATGTCAAACATATTTTCAACCTACTTGCACCAGGAATGAGCAAGCCAGTTGAGACCTTCTAGCTGATAATCTCGGAGCTCCAGATTTTCCCCTCCTAAATATGCTGGCTGTTTCTTTAAAGCTACAAATCGTGGTCTTTGCTTCAGGGCCTGAAAAACAAAAATTAACAAGGCCCAGCTCTGAGAAAATTTTCTCCTTGCTCCTAAGTTAAAATGCTAGCCACAAATGTATTCTATACCAAAACACAAAAATTCAAATCTCACCTATGAATCACCACTCCTATACTCCACCACCCCTTTCTTGATACTCTATTTCCCAGAATTCATCCTGAAATAAAATATTTCTTAATGAAATTAGCTTCTTTCCTAAAAGGAGTATGTGAACAACATTAAAGAGTTCTTCAATTTGACATCATCTCTACTTTATGGCATTCAGTCTCCTATTTTCCCAGTTATCTTTATGTTATCTTATTCTAAACAGTATAAAACAACAAGAAAGTCTATTATCTAAACGCAGCTAAACATGTAATCCTGTAATCACCATAATAGGATTTGTAAATTCTGAAATGTAGCCCAACTATGGGAATTTAATTCTCTGAAGGAAAAGTTGCCAATTTCACTACCAAAGGTTTTAAGAATAAACAGCATTCTAATAAGGCCAACAAGTCTCTGGTTTGCACAAAATGCAGATTCTGTGGCCAAATCAATGTAGAAAACAATGGATCAAAAGTTATACAAATTTCTAGCCAATTGGTGCATGCCTGTAATCCCAGTGGCTTAGGAGGCTGAGGCAGGAGGATACTACTTTTATTCAAAGCCAGCCTCAGCAACTTAGCGAGGATCTAAGCAACTTGGCAAGACCCTGTCTCTAAATAAAACATAAAAAAGAGCTGGTGATGTAATTCAGTGTTTAAATCCCCCTCGGTTCAATCCCTGGTAACAAAAATAAGTAAATAAATAAGTTATACAAATTTCTTTACTTATTACTTTTCAACATTTAACCATGTGTGCTTTTGGTATGGATTTACAGGAGAAATTTATTCAGAAATGCATCACAAAGTTATTTGGCCACAAAAGTCCTCTTTCTAAGGACATTTGCCTATATGTAGAGCCTATTCTGAGAAACATCAAGTGGTGGTGCACACCTATAATCCTACTCAGAAGCTGAGGCAGGAAGATCACAAGGTGAAGACCAGCCTGGGCAATTTATCAAGACCCTGTCTCAAAATAAAAATTTTTAAAAATAAAAAAAAAAAAAGAGCTGGAATGTAGCTTCAGTGGAACAGGACTCCTGGGTTCAATCCCCAATACCAAAATATAGATAGATGATAGAGAGACATAGATAGATAGATAGATAGATAGATAGATAGATAGATAGATAGATAGATAGATAGATAGATGGATGGATGGATAGATAGATATAAAATCCTAACCAGTTTTTGATAAGGTATCAATGATTTTGGCTCTCCAAAGGGCAGGTACCTGGCAATGAATGGAATCTGACACCTTACTCTCACCCTCCAAACAACATCCATCCACTCCTGCCAAACTCACTCCATGATTCTCACATCCAATCCTTCATGTCACCACTAGGTCCCTTGCCCTCGTGCCAATTCTTCATTCATGGATTTCTATATCTAACTAGCTGGGTCTTTTGGCTCCAGAATCTCCTATATGCTGCCAGTAGGTGAGCTTTCTAAATAAAATAGTACTTTTATTCTGTTGCTCTCCTTAGCCAGTCACCAACACCAACAGAAAAAAGTCAAAATTCCTTTTCTTCAAGATAGTTAAGACACACATACTTTAATCTAAATGTACTCAAATTTATCTCCCTTTCCAACACAGGGGTCTGGTAGTTCCCTATCATGGTGCAAATATCTTTCTCTTGGTACCTTTCATGGGAAAGCAATACCTTAGGTCCCAATAATATATCCATCACAAACGAATATATTCTTCAAGAAAAATAGGCAGTTCAGGCACCATGATTTCCTCTTAAAACTCCTTTAATGAACACTGAAGCTCAGCAAATTCTACCTCTGTACTTCTCTGACCACAGCCTATCTCACACTTACCTGACTTGCAATAACATGCTGACATTCACAGGTAGAAATGTGGTGCTATTTACATGACTCTCAATTTCTCAGAGACAAAGCCTATGTCTGATAACTACATTTATTACTCTAAGAACCCAAGTATATCACTTTTCCAGATGGAATAAATTCCAAAGAAGAGGATTTGTACAGTCAATATAGCATATAAGAAAGGTTATATGTGTTTTAATTTTTTAGTGTCGATAGGTCTTTGTTTATTTTTATGTGGTGCTAAGGATCGAACCCAGTGCCTCACACATGCTAGGCAAGCACTCTACCAATGAGCCACAACCCCAGGTTACATATTTAATTTCTAACTTAAAATTCAGAGACACCCCCTTCCTATCCCCTCTAAGTACCTACATCTTCTAAGTATTACTTACTAAAGCAAACACATTAGGCAACTCATCCTCTGCTTTTTCTATAATTTTTTTTTTATGTCACACCTAAATCCTCTTTCAATTCAAAATGGGAATCATCATTTACTCTTGTGATAATATTACCTTTTAGTATCTAGTCATTAAGCCATTATATCAGTACATTTTTCTCCTGAAAAAAAAACAAAACAAAACAACCTCATACCTTGCATTCTCTTGTTGGGATAGTTTTTGAGTTGTTCCTACTATGGAAGCTGTCGATGCAGCTCTGGAATTTCTTTCCAATCAGGGCCTCATCTTCCCAGCTACACTCTGAATAGGGAAGTCCCATCCATTTGCAGAGATACTCAGGTTCATTGGAAGGTGCTGGCTTCCGAGTATGAGCTATTTTATATGTAAACATTGATAAATCAACAACTGTCAATTAAAGGTGGAGAAAAACATTCCTTTTTATGCAGAACAAATGAAACACCATGTGGCAAAACTATACTCTGCAAAACATAAAGTGCTTTTAAATACTGAACAATGTTTATAAATAAGATCTCTTGCTCACCTGGAAAATCTGTTTGACCCAATGTAGATTTACTTGTCTTCACAGCTAAAACAAATGCAAAATAAGAAAAGTTATACTCATACCAAAAGAGAGACAGGTTCTAGGAATAAGAATACATATATACTCTACTATCTCACATCTTAAAAAGTCTTGTTCTTATCTCCTTCTCAAGCTATTGCCTCATTTCTCCCTTAAAATAAAACTGCCCAGGAGTTGTCCATAACTTTTTTCCATCTCTCATTCTCTCTTGAACACACCAAAGCAGACATGCATCTCACCATTTCATGGCTCTTTTTCACATGTGCCATACCTATTACTGAATTTAGGATTAAGTCCCAATCCTCACCATCTTTCACCAACAACATTTACTCCACTGAAGCCATATGTAACCTAGCTTCCTTTATAGCAATCTCTCTCAGCTCTCCTCCTATCACACTGGCTGTCCTTCCTCTCATTTGAATGCTTATTTCAGACTTCTACACAGCAGAATGATCTCAGACTTCCTCCTCTCACCATGTATACTCTATTCCTAACAATCTCATTAAAATCTTTTTTTAAATTTAGGCTTTAAAATACTACTTATAGCTGAGCACAGTGGCTCACGCCTATAATCCCAGCAACTTGCGACACAGAAGCAGGAGTTTCACAGGTTCAAACCCAGGCTCAGCAACTTAGCAAGGCCCTAAGCAACTTAGAAAGACCTGGTCTCAAAATAAAAAAATAAAAATGGCTGGGAATGTGGCTCAGTGATTAAGTGGCCCTGGGTTCAATCTCTAAAAAAAAAAAAAAACTACCTATATACTGATAAAATGCCCAAATTTAAATCTTTGACCTAAACTAAAAGAGCTACATCCCAGGCTTATACATACTCCTGCCTTCAAAATACTCTCCTCTTAGATGATTAAAAAGTATATCAAACTTTATATCAAGCTCTTTATTTCTGCTCCAAAAATGAATTCTTCCTTTGATCTTTACATTCAAGCCAAAGAACTTGACATCTCCTTGATACCCCTTTCACTTCCATACCCAAATCAATGAGCAAATTTTATTAGCTTTTCCTTCAAGATAACCCTAAGTATGTGTCTACTCTCAAGAAGTAAAACTAGAGAATGCAATTTTTAATATACATTATGCTAAAAGTAAAAGCCATTATTCTTTGAGTTCAAACTCAGCTAAAGTAAGTTTCTATGTATTTACCTATTACTCTCTCTACTATCTGATATTGTTTATTCAACTCTGAAGCCAGCTCCTGTTGGCAATTGAAATATTCCACATCTTCAGGAGAAACTTTTCCTAACCTGGACAGAAGACAGAAATAGCACATACCAATTAGACTTAGGGGATCTATGCACATGTATCACACCAAAAATCCAGATTAGAAAAGCTAACAAGTTACTTCTATCTGTCCCTTTGGTAATCTTTACTAGTAATTAGGCATGAGATTTTTTTTAAAACACCTTCACATCATTTCTGAAAATTATATAAAACTACTATTAGTTTTAAGTGTTTCATAACCCAGAGAGTTCTAGAATATTAGACATGATGTCTAAGCCACGACGGTCTAACCACAGTCAGCTAAGTGTTGTAAAGAATAGGCTCTGAACTCAGGTGCCAAAATTCAAGTACTGGGTCCACTTGTGGAGTTGCTTTGTACCTCATCCTTCCTGTCTAGAATGCAGGGTTACTTTATAAATAATCTCATACCTTTCTTGTGAAGATGAAAGACATAATGTTATGAACAATGCTTAATGTGCTGCTATCACTAACATTAAAGACTGAGTAGCCACATGCAAAAATATATAGTATTTTGGGGTCACAATTTTATAAAACAGAACTACAGTTAGCTCTGTATTCACATGATGAAGGCAAGAGTGAGATCCTAAATAGCTGTGTTCTCAGTACATTATTTAAAAATCTTCCTTTCTCTCAGGCTGCAAATATCTATTTAATCCATGGTAAGAAACATACCATTGTTTGATTTCATCTTCTTTCTTCTTGAAATTCTCTAGTTTTTTTAGGCCTTTCACTTTCTGTTGCTGTAAAGATTCTTCACTCTCCCATGTACTGTGGATATAAGACCAACCCTTCCACTTGATGAGGTACTGAATTTCACCTTCATCCTTTTCAGTGTCAAAGTCACCACTAGGATCTCCATTAGCTTCAATAGCATATACAGTAGTAGAAGCTCCAGTGGCTGCAAAAGGATTCAGTTAAATTTTTAAAAGTATAGCTCAGTGGTAGCATGTACAAGGCCCTGGGTCTGATTCCCAGCACCTCAGAAAGCAAAAGAGAGCATAAAATCAGACACTAAAAAGCTTCCTAAGTTAGCAACTGTCTAATCTCTAAAAAGGAACCACCAAAATACTTGGACTTCAAATAAGCATAACTTACAACACAGAGTGGAACTGACCAATAATTTCAAATATTTTTTTATTTTTTATTTTTTTTAAAGAGAGAGTGAGAGAGGAGAGAGAGAGAGAGAGAATGAGAGAATTTTTAATATTTATTTTTTTTTAGTTCTCGGCGGACACAACATCTTTGTTGGTATGTGGTGCTGAGGATCGAACCCGGGCCGCATGCATGCCAGGCGAGCCCGCTACCGCTTGAGCCACATCCCCAGCCCCTTCAAATATTTTCAAAATGCTAACCCAGGGCTGCTGATGTAGCCCAGTGGCAGAGTGCTTCCTAGCATCCACCAAACCCTGGGTTTAAGTTATAGTACCGAAAAAACAAAATCAAAACAAAAAGAGCTAACCTGGCTTTTGTGCATTAAAACATATTCTAGTCAGGTAAGAGAACACACACCTGTAATTAATTCCAGCTACTTGGGGACTGAAAAGGGAAGATGACAAGTTTAAGCTTAAGTCTATGCAACTTAACCAGAATCTGTCTCAAAATACAATTTTTAAAAAGGACTACAAGTATAGCTCAGTGGCAGACTTTTTAGCTGGCATGCACAAGATCCTGGGTTCAATCCCCAGAATAAAAAAAAAAAAAGGTATTCCAAAGTTTGCCAGTGAAATAAATCAAACATCCAAATGTAATAAAAGGTTTTTTTTTGGAGGGGGGAGTCCAATAATTCAAACTAAACAAAAAATACCTATTGCCAGGAATAAGAACAGAAAATCAAAATCCTCTCCTGCTTTCCCACCCTCCCAAATCTTTCCATTAATTCTCCTATTTCTCTACTTCAAGTACAGCCAGAATAAGGGACCAAAAACAAAAAGATTAAAAAGTTATGAGGTATCTCAAATAGATATTTTTAAAACATTTTTGCTATTATTCAAACATATATTTGATTAGTTTGATATTTTTACAGATTCAAGAACAATTAACTAAATAGATTTGCTAAAGGTTAATAGGCGATATCTTAAAAAAAAAAAAAGCAGTATCTCTACTATATCACTGCTTCTTATCTTTACTAGCTTAATTTAAAATATCAAAGACATATAGGATGCATTCCTTTGTCCTCAGCTTGAAAAATTATTAGTTCAACAGACTTCCACATCTCACAACAGTTGCCTGAAATTTATCACATCCAGGTTAAAATATATAAAATCTGGGCCTTACTAAGCAGATTTCAAAATACTTTGCTTTCCAAAGATACATACCTCCTTTCTTTCCCAATCTTGAATCTAAGACCTTTTCAATAGTTTCACTATTATCTTGCTGTTCATCAACTCCTTCCCCAGTCATTTCAATGAGATCATCTGAATCAGTCTCAAAGTCATCATCTTCTTTATAACTGCATGAAAAAAAAATACTGAATAATTGAGAAAATTATAGTTTAAGGATTAAACACCTCCATATACAATATCACCAGAAAAAGGAACCATATTCCTTTGATTCCAACATACTATTTTACAGATTTCCCATTCATTGGACTCAATGCAAGTATCAATTCATGATCACTGATTAACTGCAAGAAGGCTAACCCACGTTTCAAATGAAAACAGTGTACCTATACTAATTTATGTAACAAAATTACAATAATACAAAACTACAAGGACATGCCTTTTTTCTTTTTTTAATGAGATTATTATCACATAAATGAAAAAGCTATCCAAAGAAAATGCATAATGAAAGAAAAAAACTGTTATTAAATCATTGGATAAAAAGGGACAGGGGATATAGTTCATTTTGGTATAGTGCTTGCCTTGCCTGCACAAGGTCCTGTGTTCAAGCCCCAGCACCACAAAAAAAAAAAAAAAAAAAAATCCACTGGATAAAAAGGAAGTAACATTTAAATTTAAATGCTTTAACCAGAAAAACTGCTAAGCTATACACAGGCATATGCAAAGCTGAGTCTTTGTTTATAATTATTAATTGGATATACTGGACAAATAATTAGTATTTTTAGATCTCTAGGAAGACTATAAAAAAATCTGCATATGTTCTAAAAATTAAATGTCTTTCAAACTCTACAAAGTAAAATATTAATGTTTGAATCTATTTCACTTTCTATGACTAAGTTAAATTAAAATTTTGGTTTTATCAACATATAAACCAAACCTCAGAATAATTTGCATCATTTAAAAGAGAAATAAAAGGAATGGGGATACAGCTCAGTGACAGAGTCCTTGCCTAGCATGAATGAAGCCCTGGGTTCAATCCCTAGAACTGCCACACACACACACCCCACCCCTCACCCCGCTAAAAAAGAGTAATGTTATAAAATGCTGACAGTGCCACTAAGGACATTAACTTGAAGTAGTTTAAAATGATCTACTGTTGTTCTTTCTCATTCCTCTTGGTTTAATTATCACTATTCCTTTTCCAAGAAAACTAAACGGATTTCTAAAAACAACATAGATCTATCAAATGCAAAATCTTAGACTATAAAAACCAAGATCTAGCCAATTACACCAATGGGGCACAACTTACCTAACATTCTTAGCAGCTCTTCTACGAGTCTGCCTTTTGGGAGCTTCATCATCTTCGTCATCATCATCGGAAGAATCTTGCTTTTTTTTCTTTCCACGCTGAGCCTTAGGTTGCTTTTTAACCCGAGGTTTGGGAACTGTCCTAAAATGAGAAGGAAAAACAATGGCAAAGCTTTTATTCTAACATGGGAAATCTACTTCAAATCTAAATAATGATATTTCCCAGAACAATGGTACATATAATTAAGCCACTTGGCAAATGTTAAAAATATATTCCTGGGCTGGGGTGTAGCTCAATGGTAGAGTGCTCATCTAGCACATATGCAAGAAGCCCTGGGTACGATCCCCAGTGTGACCAAAAAAAAAAAAAAGCATATTCTTGAATCCCAAACCCTGAGATTCTAATTTACATGAAAGGGATTCTAATGCTGATAATCCTAAATCATTTATGGGAGATAATGGTTCTCAACTGTTCATCAGTATCACCTAACAAAAATAAATATGTAGCACGTTGCTTATGGTATATTTTGGGTAGGCAATCTGGAAATATCCATCAAATTTTAAAATGCAACAATTTTACTTATAACAATATATTTCACAGATGTATACTTGGGAAGACATACACATTCACAGTAGCAGCACTTGCAATTATAAAGTATTAGAAAAATTCTAATAAATGTTCATCATCTGGTAACTGAGTATTATGCAATCACAAAAAAAGAAAAAGGCAGTTTCCTGGGTACTAATATGAAAAGATATCCAAGAAACATGCATAACAAGATGCATAGAACACTCTTGGTCTGTGTAAAAGTGAGTAAAGGACAAGAAAAAATTACACGATTTTAAATCTTTTTGTTTGTTTTATTTTGTTTAATTTATATATGTGGTGTTGAAGATTGAAACCGGTGCCTAACAGGTGCTGGGCAAGTGCTCTACCCCTGAGCTTCAACCCCCACATAATCTCTTCATGTGCACAGACTATAAAATGATTGTACCCTGCCATAGTTCTAGTACAACAGAGCAAGGCCCCCTCTCCTGAGTCCCATGTACAGCCATGACTGAATGTCACAGTCTAAGATCATGAAAGGAAAAGTAAAAGAAGAAGAAAAAAGGAGAAGTAAACTCACAATAACAATTATCTGTTTCTTATACTAACCCTAAAAACCTAGAAGAGAGACTCAGGAGGCTGAGGCAGGAGTTCAAAGCCAACCTAAGCATCTAAGCAAGACCATAAGCAACTTAGTGAGATCCTGTCTCAAAATAAAATGAATAAAAGATCTAGGGATGTGACTTAGTGGTTGGATTCAGTACCTAGTACCAAAAAACAACCGGAGAAGACAAAATTAAGAGTTAACAGTCCTGTGAGCTTCAATTAAGGTGAAACACAATATTCTTATGAATTTTCCTCAGAGAATTGAAATACAAGTTATGTCCTAGGCCAAGGGTGGGCAAACTTTTTCCGTACATAGACAGAGAGTAAATATTATAGGCTTTGCCAGCCAAAGGGCAAAACTGAGATCATTATATTAATACTTATATAAAGAAAAAAATTTAAAATTTTCACAAGCTTTTTATTGACAAAATTCAAAATAAACTTAACCATTGAGTATACTATTTGTGATTATCTATCTTCTAAAGAAAAGACCGGTACTCCTTTTGAGAGAATAACATTTCATTTAACCTATTATGTCCCATCTTTCCATTTAAGGTAACACCTAAAAAAGTTAAAACTGAACATCAAATATACCACTTATTCAAACATTTGAAATAGTTATATTTTTAGAGTCCTATTATTTTTAAATATTTTTTAGTTGTTGATGGCCCTTTATTTTATTTATGTGTATGTGGTGCTGAGAATCGAACCCTCAGAGCCTCATGAGGCCACTGAGCCACAACCCCAGCCCTAGAGTTCTATCTTTTTTAGAAAATAGGTGTATGAGCAGTAATAACAGTCATTGCTATTATATGTTATAATAAACTCTAGATTATGATCTCCAACATTTAAATGCACCTGTGTCAAAATCGTGAAATATTCCCAGAATTGAATGGGTTAATTGGGATTCAAACCTAAAACCTAAAAATAATAAATATTCATCTACAAAAGAAGTATTATCCTTCAGGCCATAAAAAATAGGTGGTTTGTGGGATTTGGTCTAAAGACCACAGTTTGCTGACTCCATCACTTAGCAATACAACAAAAATGTAAATTTTCCTGGGGACTGTCTACCTTCCTTTTCCTATCAACATTACCTGAAATTGCCACCATCTTTCTGACAAAATGTTACTAAAATTTACTGCCATCTCATGCTATCCTCATCTTCAAACAATTAGATTTTCTGCTTAGTATTATATATAAATTATATGAACAGGACATTAACAATCGAGTATGTTATAAGTCAGCTAAACAGTATTTCAAACTTAAGAGTTAATTGTTCCACAGAGAACTTGTACCTTGGCCAGACAAGCAGGAAATTTTTTGTAAGTGGAAGATACCCTCATAAGTAGGCTATCATGGAGAAACAATAAAATCCACTGTGGAACCATAAACTACAAAAACACCCACAATTAATATAAGTAACCCAGTCATTTAAGCACTTGCTGAGGATACAAGCTAGCACAAAGTGAACAACAAACATTTAGAATTCAGAACTGCAACTTGTCCTATCTGCTTAAGGCTCTCATTCCTGCAAGACATCATCCTTCCCGATGTATTGCAAACTGAGCTCTTCCAGAAGCAGAGGTCTAAAACCAACTGTATACCTTCTGGGGACAGGTCTTCTGGCTTTCACTTTTTTTTGTTCTTGTTCACTCTCTGCACTGGTGCCTTGATCCTGTTCATCTTCTGAGGGCTCCCGTTTCCATTTTTCTCTGCAATAAAAGCAAAACAAAATAATTTTTTTCTAAAATAATTATTCCACAATCTGACAAAATAAATTCAATACAATTATCTAAAAGGTAGAACATGCATATTTGAGATATCATGCTAAAAGAGATTTATTTTAGCTCTATTTAAATTTTGGTTGTGATCCTTCCTAGCGACATATCTATTCCTATTTCATCTCAAATAAACAAACAATGGAAACTATGAGTGTATTTTTCAATTTGTTTTGGGAGAAAATGTTAAATTTCTCATTTTTTTTTATTTACTACTATATTATGACAAGAATTAAAACATAATACATACTAGAATAATGGTTCCCAAATTTTAGCATGCATCAGGAACACCTAAAAGGTTTGTTAAAAAAGATTTCTGGGCCCTGGAAAGTTCTTAATCAGGAAGTCTCAAGTAAGGCCTAAAATTTTGAATTTTAACAAATTCACATATAATACTGGGTATAAATTTGAGAACCTTTATATTAAATATTTAAGGAAGGTCCCTGAAATTATTTTCCAATGATAAACCTACTTAACTAATCTGTCAGCTCAAGATATAGTTTTTAATTATTATTAGATAAGGTAAATATTCTTTTACCCCTTTAGAACTTAGAAGGCTTAAGAGCCATAACCTATTGGTATCCTTGGACCCAAAACAGTTTTAGTTTACTTAAGGACCAAACTGGATACTACAAAGACCTTGCTCATTTTCTCACCTGTAAGGAGTAAAGAACACGTAACAACTACTGGGTGTTAAATAACCTAGAAAAAAAAAAAAACTTAAAGGCAACGCTTCTCTATAAACAAAACAATTACCACTGTTCCTCTGGGTCCCTTTACAGATAGTGTGGTCACACTAAAGTTATTTGTTACAAAATTGAAAAGTAAGGGGATAGGATTCTGGCTCAGAGGGAGAGTGCTCACCTTGCATGCATGAGGCACTGGGTTCGATCCTCAGCACCACATAAAGATAAAATAAAGATTTTGTGTCTACCTATAACTAAAAATATAAGTATTAAAAAAAAAATCTGAAACGTCAAACCAATATTCTTCACAGGAGAATAGGTCAAAGTAATAGTGAAAGCTTGTTCCAAGGGGGTTAATCTGCAGATTCCTGAGACCCTTTCCAAAAGCTGCACAAGTTAACCTATACCTGAATCAGGTGAAGCCTAAGAGGGCAAGGGGAATTCAAGCCTTCCATGAAAAGGCAATGGAGCTCTTTTATGTATATTATTCAAATTGTACTAGCACTGTGTGCTTTCATATCTATTTCCCTAGAGTTGTTGACTCCTTGTACAGCACATATTTTTGTCCACCTTTGTACCAGAGCTTAGTTCAAAGCCTGGCAAATGGAAGATGTTCTTCTGTGAAGTAAAAAAATTGATTAATGAATGAGCCATATCAATCTATCATTCATACAGGTAAAGTACTTTTGAGAACAGGCTGATAAGACAGTAAGGATTTTAGTTATTGGCTAATACTCAATATCTAAATATCATATATCTAAAACAAAGACTTCCTTCTGTCTAACCACACTCAGATTACCTGTCTTATCCTGCTACCCTAGAGCCAAGTACAATAAACATCTGCATAAGAATCCAAGGATAGAAAGTGATTGCCAGAAAGAAAGGAAGGAAGATATCCCCTACAACTGGGAGAAGAGCACATGGGTGCCTAGTTTCCTTTGAATCAGTTTACCTCTCAGAATCTCACACAAAGTGAAAAAGAGTGGTTTCACAGGAACATATTTGAAAAGACATGAACAATTACAACCTAAGATGAGAAAAATCCAAAGTTGTTGTGGTTTGGATGTGAAGTATATCCCAAAAGCTCATATGTAAGACAATGAAAGAAGGTTTAGAGGAAAAATGATTGGGTTTATGAGAACCTTAATCCAATCAGTGAGTTAATCCCATAATGGGATTAACTGGATGGAAACTGAAGACAGGTTGGAGGAGGTGGATGGGGTATGCCTTTGGGGTATATATTTCGTATCTGGTGAGTGGAGTCTCTCTGCTTTCTGATCATCATGTGGACTGCATCTCTCTGCCACACTAGTCCACCATGATTATTCTGCCTCACCTCAAGCCCTAAGGAATGAAGCCTACTGTCTATGGACTGCAAATTCTAAAACCATAAGTGCTTAAATAAAATTTTCCTCCTATACAATTGTTCTGGTTGGGTGTTTTAGTCAAAACTGAAAAAAAGCTGACTGAAAAAAACACAAAAAGTCTAGTATTATTTTGAATTTACATGTCTCCTCCAGGAACTGGCAACCTAAACCAGGGCCATCAGTGAAGTCCACTTCTATAAGTATAGGAAACTAAAATGGCAGCAAGCCCTGAGCAAATATATGCTGAAGCTAGAGTTTTCCAGTTAATTATAAATTTATTAATAACCAAGAGAATTTGGAAGTTATAAGAAAATTTTTAAAAAAGAAAAAAAAATTTAGTAAATCAACTACTCTAAAGCCTTCCTCCCAGAGAAAACAAATTGCTTGGCCACAAAGCAAATTCCTAGCTCCACTACTCTCAATCATAACTCAGAGAAGACCAAAAAATAAGGAAAAAATTAAAGTCAGTCTTACACATTTCAGGAGGATCTGGACCACTGGAGGTTTAAAAGGCCTGAATGAATATGTATGTGTATTTGAAACTGGATGAATTATCTCAAGTTTTAATATTCAAAAACAAGAAAGAAAGTATCAGCAACATCACATCACTCTGTAGAAGAAGTGAGGTGAAAAAGAGTGATTATTACTTATTGAAAGATTACTCTATAACCTACAGTCTATAGGGCTCTCCAGCACATGAACTGCTGTCCACTTACCTACACTGTTGGCTTCCTATAAAATGCAAATTTTATAAAGAAATCCCACTAATCCATATGCTGTAAGTCCACCTACAGTAAAGAGAAATCTAAGATATGATCTCATGAGTGCAAAATGTTTAATATATCAAAAGAAACTAAATTATCATATCCAGTTTAAGAGGAAATCAATGTAATTTTTCCCAAAATCTTAGGAATTGATGAGGAAAAACACAAAGATTTAGCCAAATGAGACCCTCAAGATAATAAAAACAAATAAGGAGTCTAAATGTAGGTTAATGAGTAAAGTTAACTCTCCTTTTCTGGGAAAAAGTGTTTAGGAGGGCACAATCCTGAGACAGGCGAATCAAATCTAAGCAACTGTGAAATAAGTAATGAGCAAAAGCCACTTTCAATAGTATGGGTCCGAACTGTAGACAAGAGTTGCAAAAGCTCACCCCATTAAACATTTGTAAGAGCCTAGAGAAGAGAATTCCCTTCTCCTTTACTTTATAAGGCAGATCTGAAAAGAAGAAAGTAAATGATTTAACTTATTTAATTTTTAGTAATTTCCCCAAGAAAGAATACCTTTCATAAACAATTCCAATCTGGAGTTAACAAGAATTCTCTTCCATTGTGTCACAGGTTTGTGACAGATTCCCAATTCAACACACTGGAAAGGAATACAAAACTATGATCCCATGAGAAAAACTTTTCATAGTTATGACTAAAATTTTCACATTCTACTTGGGTTTTAGAACCACTGCAGAATATCATTAAACACTATTAGACCATAATGTCAGCAGAAATGGTATACAACACTATTCAAATGTTGACAATATTTACAGGTATTGCATTAAAAAGAGAATTTAAAGATTTAAATTAGCATAAGTGGGTTAAATAAAATCCAAAGTTTAGTTTATGTATATGACTCTAAGATAGCAGTTAAATAACTTACTGGAACCAGGTAAGGACTGCAAGAAGGGTAAAGTAGAGAACTCATGGCCACTCACTAATATATGCATCAGCTTTGAAAGATATTTCTCAAAAGAAGCCAAAAATACATATTCCTATTCACAATACCCCCAATAGTCAACATTGCTGATACAAAAAATGTTTTTTAAATATTGTGCAGGCCCATAGTGCTAAGTAAACACAAGTTAAGATTAAAAATTGCTTATACATTATAACTATGGGAGTTAGTCTCTTCTTAGTTCCCAAAAGAACATATACTCGTTTAAGACTGCATTCTTCAAAAATATCAATGCCATAAAAGCAGAGAGAGGCTATAAAATGCTCCAGATAAAAGAAACCTGACATCTAAATATATAGCATCTGATGCTAGATGAATCATGTAGTGGTGGTAGAAAAATGGATTGACTGACAAAACTGGAAAATAAATTAGACAAAAGTATTTCAATAATGTTTAAATCTATTTAAGTTGAAACTACTTTTTCCTGAAGAAATACTTAGGGGTGGGGGCTGAGGATTTAGCTCAGTTCGTAGAGTGAGTGCTTGATTCACATGCACAGGCCGTGGTTCAATCCCAGTACCACCAAAAAAATAAAAAGAAAGAAAAGAAATACTTAGGGGTAAAAGACCATGAAGTATTAAGACTTTAGTCTCAAATGGTTCAGAAAAAAAACTATGTGTATGTCCACATAAATACCTATAAAAAGAACACCTACAACAAAAAAGCAAATGAGTAGATGATCACTTGATCATCAGAGGGTGCCTGCATACCTTCCCAACAATTTGGTCAAAGTGCACATTTCAGGGGGAAAAAAAAAAAAAAAAATCACCAAAAAACCATATATCAGTCAACAGAAAACATAATCTCCCAAGTAGATTGTAGGACAGAGGTAGGAAAAAAAGCCTTCTAAATAAAATGTCAAAAACTCTTAGGTCTGCTTACAATTGCTATTTCTCCAACTTAAGTAGATACTTAAAACAAAAATGGATATTGGATGTACTCTAGTAGGACAATATTAAACACTTGACTTTTTTGCAAAGTACTATAATAATCTATATTAAATGTCACAAAATCTTAGCACAGTTTCTAATTACTCTTGGGTAGGCCAAATTAGTATAACTCTATTTTAGAAGGACATAAGGAAATAGTTTTAAAACACTCAAATTATTTGCCTTATACAACTTTTTAAATTAATATTAATCTTTAATAATAATACATTTTAAAATAATTAAAAATTACTAATACTTTAGAATCAGATAGTATGTAACTGGAACTCCTATAAGAAGCCATAGATAATTAACACAAGAATCTCGAAACTGGGAGCTGGGGTTGCGGCTCAGGGGTAGAGCACTCACCTAGCACATGCAAGGCGCTGGGCTCGATCCCCAGCACCACATAAAAATAAATAAATAAAGTAAAGGTATTGTGTGCAACTACAATCCCCAAACTGGTCTACAAAGTTTTGAATATCTAAATCTTTCTGAGTTGATATACCGAATTCATGTAATTGAGGGAACTGTACCTTCTCCAAAAAAAGATTTTAAAAATTATTTCTCAAAAATCAAATAATTTTCAGAGAAATCTTTTAAATTAAAAAATAATGAGTCACACACGGTGGGACATGCCTGTAATCACAGTGGATCAAGAGACTGAGGCAGGAGGATCACAAGTTCAAAGCCAGCCTCAGAAAAAGTGAGGCACTAAGCAACTCAGTGAGACCCTGTCTGTAAATAAAATACAAAATAGAGCTGGGATGTGCCTCAGTGGTTGAGTGCTCCTGAGTTCAATCCCCAGTACTCAGAAAAAAAAAAAGTAGTAATAATAATAATAATAATAATAAACACATAACCTATGTTACAAAGTAATTTTCATGGAGCCCAAGAATTAAAATTTTCTGGTCTATAAACTACAATGTTAAAAATTATATGGGGCTGGGGTCATGGTTCAGTGGTAGAGTGGTTGCCTCACATGAGAGAGAGACTGGGTTCAATTCTCAGCACCACATATAAATAAATAAAATAAAGATCCATCAACACTAAAAAATATTTTTAAAAAAATGATATGAGAACAATAGTATATAATTTCATACCAAAATGAGTGCCCAACCAATATAACTCTGCCATGCCAACATAAAGGACAAATGATAAAAGAAAAAAAAATGGCAAGTTTAGATTTGTTCCTTGTTTAATTAACTATAATGTACATTTTTTAAAAAATTTAAGTTGAGCTACACCAGAGGGAAGAAGTTGGAATTTGCCCCCAAGAAACAGCCCAAGCACATGTGGAACCCTTCCATGTGTTAAACTAAGAAGTCCTAGCTTCAAATGCTTCTACTGCTGCAAAAAAGCAGGACAATAGTAACCCAAGCTCATAAGAGAAACAAAGGAAGATTCAGACCTGGGACAGATGGAAGACAATGAATGCTTCCTAGAAATGCTGACATGTTTATAACTACCAGATTTAGTAATTTCCCCCAAGAAAGACTTACTGTTTTTTCAGCTGCCTCTGGCCTCTTCTTTTTGGGCTCCCACTCTCAGACCCGCTACTTGCCTTCAGTGTGTGAGGGGGGAAAAACGATTACAGACTTTAATGCACAATTCGTTGGGATAACGCTACCTCCTGGTTCTACAATCTATTCAATATAGCATTATTAAATATGAGATTTTAGACAGAAGGAAATCTATGCACTTGTTTGATGGATCCCCCTCTTCTTTTGCTTTGAAAATTAATGTCTCTCTATTAATTACTGAGTTATGTCTAAAGCCAAAAAGTATTTCTCAGCTTGACTTCCAGAATAATAATATCTAATAAAATTTTCCACAGTGCAATGATGTAAATGTTCTATGTCTGTAATGTCAATATGGTAGTCAACCACATGTAACTACTGGGCACTTGAAATGAGGCTATTGTAACTAAAGAAAAAAAATTTTAATTTATTTATTTCTAATTAATATAAGATTTAAAAACCACATGTGGCAACTATTGGATAGGGCAGATCCGAAATATCAATGAAAATACCACATTTAGTCAGTATGCCTTAAAGCCTCTGACTGCTGATCTATTCATTTTTGACTTATTATAAAAGCAAGTTAAATCATGAGCCAAAAGTGCTTTGCTAATAGGCCAAGACAAGTTTATAGTCATAGACATTTGAACAGCTTTTTTCCCCAAACATTAAGCAAAATGGCTAAGTATTCCTGTTAATCTTATGTCCTACTGAGATAAAGAAAAAGATTTACCAAACTATGTGATTGGTTTAAGTGTGGCTCAGTAACCTAGTGATAGACACTACGAAAAAGGAAAGCAAAAACAAACCAGTTCAGAGGTCACTCACAATCAAACATCACAAATATAATGTAGATATGTTAGGGTGAATTAGATTTTTAAAGTACATTTGCAAAAAAAAAACCACACTCAACTCACTAACCTTTGACTATCAATATTATAACTTTCAGAAGAATGTTAAATAGCTAAGAATACCAAAGTCCTCCTAAGAAGGCAGAAAGGGGACATTTTATTGAGACAAGAGTATCTCTTCAGAATCTAGTCTATCAATCTAATATAAAGATAAGAATCCACAAAAATATCACACAATCTGAGAATGGTAAAAGAAGTCTGATTCTATACACAAACAACTCCAGTACATAATACCAGTTTCAAAAAGCACCAATCTATTCAATCTCTCATAATTAGATCAGAGAGTGAATATATTGGAAACTAGTTTTATCTCACACTAAAAACGATCAAGAAAACTATTTACAGAAATTGGATAAAAAACATTACTTAAGAACTCTCTCCTTTCCTTTCTCAGCAATAAGTCCAAAACTCTTTCCACTGTTCTTTGTTCATCAGTTCAACCAAATCTACATCTAGAAGCAAGAGGTTTTAAAAAAAAAAAAAAATTTTGCTACAATCAATTTCACTATGAGAAAATTAACTTAAAAAAATTTGAGGTCTATTTTGTATAACATTCTAATATTCTACTGAAACATTAACTATTATATTTTGGGTAAGTTCCTTGTATTTAACTTCTTGCCTTATTATTTCTGGTCACAGAAACCTCACATTAAAGTCAATTAACTCCCATGCCTGAAGTTCAGTCTTATTAATAGTAACACATTTCACAGTCACAAAGGATAAAATAAGAAATTTAAATGTATGTAACCCCTTAAAACAATTTTTGTTCTTACCTCTTCCTTAATATTAAATCGTGATGGTTCTTGTCTGCTTCGGTTTGATCGCCTAACCCCATAAACATCAGGATATTCTTCCCACATCTGTAAAATTAATAGGCCATGGATGAATTTTTTTTCTTGATCTCCATTTACTATTTAAATCACAGGAACATTTATTTAAATTCAAAAGAATTCACATAATTAAATACCAAAAGAGTTGTGTGGCTAATTTTGTTTATGATACAACAAAGCTCCATCTTTAAAAAGAAGAGGCATAATAATGCTAGGACACAAAGTTTAATAATTCCCTTCATTACTTAATAAAGGCTGGTAAGTTATAGGACACACTGTTTACTCACTGTTAAAATACAAACTTAAAAAAAAGAGTTAAATAATATGGTTAGGCAAAATAGCAATTTCACTAAAGACAAAGTATGTACTAATGAATTTTAAATTCCCAATTCTTTTTTTTTTTTTGTACTACAATTAAACCCAGGGGCACTTAACCACTAGGCCACATCCCCAGCCCTAGGGCCTCATTAAGTTGCTAAGAGTCTCATTAAGTTGCCAAGGCTAGCTTTTAACTTTCAATCCTCCTTGCCTCAGCCTCCTGAGCCACTAAGATATTACAGGCATGTGACACCAAGTCCAACTTAATTCCCTAATTCCTGAGATTCAACTTCTACTACAAAACTACAACTCAGAAATTCAAGTCTAATTAAGTAAGAATCAGGGTATTTGCATATTTTTTAAGTTCCTCAGGTTGTGTATGTCTCAGATACATGTTAGAAATTCTAAGGACACTGCTATCCTTTTATTCTAGGAACACCTATTTTTATTCTCAAACCATAATTAGTCCTTTGCTTTTATGACTTGGACTTTTAGTAAAATCCTCACCAGTGCTTTAAAAAACTTAAGGAACTAATTAGGAGCTGGAATTGTGGCTCAGTGGTAGAGCCTAGCATGTGTGAGGCACTGGGTTCAATTCTCAGCACCACATATAAATAAATAAAATAAAGGTCCATTGACAACTAAAAGTTTTTTTTTTTTTAATTAAGAGACTAATTAAAGAGATACTAAAATTTTACTCTCCATCCCCAGAGATAACTAATATATTCTGTTATTTTAAAACAAAATCTCATAAGCAAAAGGGATTCCATGGACTGTGGAATGCTGACACACACACAAAAAGTCTAATAGTAGCTAAACATGTAAAAAAATGCTTAAAAGCAAAAATTAGAAATGTAGGTTTGTTATCAAAACACAAATGACAGGCAATGTCACGAAAACATTTGGAAATGAGAACCACTGTCTTGAGACTGGTAAACTATTTTCACTTGAAAGCATGGAAACTGGATTCTAAAACAGAAAACTGATGAAAGCTGATCTAAAAAAATACCACATTACCATGCCAAAGAAAGACATTATTAACAATGACTTAAAAAAATAGGAAAATAAAGAAAACAAAGCCTAAAACAAATAATTAATTAAAAAAAATAAGGCCAAAAATAGGCATCTTAGAACTATAATCTAACATAATCATGCAATTTAGTATTCTTAGATTCTCTAATTATCTTAGAATAACCATCTTGGAGTTAAAAGACAAAAAGCCCAACCAGAATGAATTAGGAATAATCAAGTGGCTGGAAAAACAGGTGCAAGAGGCAAGTAAACGCAAAACAAGCCAGACAAATATGACATAGAAAGGAAAAAAGAAAGTGCTTCACTGTAGTGTGTCTGCAACCCCAACTCCTTTTGGGACCTCTACTAGAACTTTGAAATTATTTACATGAATCAACACAAATTTTTATGGAACTTTTATTAATGAGGATGGCTAAATTGTATTTAAATTTAACTACATCAGTTTTATTACTTTAGTAAATTAGCCAGGTATTCTGTTCAACTATTGCAATTTTATCACAGAATATACCATAATGCTTATATCCTAAAAATCATCTTGTGATCATATTTGTCCTTTTGAGGATCAATGATATCTAATTCAACTCTTCCATGAAAAAGCTACCCTCGGAGTTATCACTACTGAATAATCCTACATAAATAACAGAACTTTTTTCCTGTTGGGAGAAGGTGAGGGATGTCACCTTATGAAAAGGACGTACACAAAAAGCAAGCCTTCTATTAAGTTCTCATTTTAGAGTTACCATTATTAAAGGCACAATACAGTCATTCTGACTGCTACTAGGTCCACTTACAACCACTACCACCACCCACCACTGTGCTTGGGATTGAACCCAGGGCCTTACACATGCTAAGTATATGAATTCAATCTTGGCAATGCCTTCTCTCATTTCTTGGTTATTAAAGAAAGTAAATAAGATCTTAGAAATAGCAGTTGTGAATCCCAGAGAGTCAACCAAGATTTCAGTAAAACTTTAAACTTACAAGTCATGATTTCTACAGTTTCCTTTTACTTCTACATGTAAAGAGCTCCTACTATAAGAAAGATATTTCATATTTCATTCAACAATGTATTGGAACAAATACATAATAACAAATCCCATCAATATTACAACTGTAATGCACCAATAAAAAAATGTGGAAAAAAAAATCATTGGAGTTTTCTGAAAAGAACACCTGGTATAGATGTACAGGGTAAACCAGGCTCAGAAATTAGGCTCTAAGCATCACTGAGCAAGACCTTCTGACACATGCCGGAAGGCAAATTTCTGATGATACTCAATAAACAATTTCTAAGTAACACTTCTATTTGACCTTTTTGAAAAAAAAAAGGGCCACTTAAACTGTATTTTTAAAAAGTATACCACACACGGAGCAAGCAACACTTGAGTGTCTGAAAGGGGCTTCGCTGACTATTATTATTAGTAAGGACATCTTTCATTTTCCTATTAGACTGCCATCAGGATTCTCCAACCTAACAAGCTCCTAAAGGTCGCATACCATTAAGCAACAATTATGCTGGGAAGAGAAAATCTGAAATAACACAGTTGATTCTAAATCTGGCTTAAGAGTTAAAAAAAGTGGTTTTTTAGTTTTTTTTTTTTTCCTAAGAGAGAGTGAGACACAGAGATAGAGATAGAGAGAATTTTTTTTAATCTTTATTTTTTAGTTTTCGGCGGGCACATCTTTGTTTGTATGTGGTGCTGAGGATCGAACCCGGGCCGCACGCATGCCAGGCGAGCCCGCTACCACTTGAGCCACATCCCCAGCCCAGTGGTTTTGTTTTTTAAGTTGTTTGTTGAACTTGCAGGTAATATAAACCTACTTGTAATTATTATGAAAATCTGAGTGTGCAAAAAAGATTTATATCTTCGAGTATAGCTTAAATAAAAAATGATTTGGCATAAAACCTTTGTGCTGCGCCCCTCCCCTGACTCAGGCAATGGCAAGGCCCTACTGAGGTGGATGGCGCAAGGCGTCCATCCTCTGGAGGAGCGCAGTATGTTTCTGGGAATGGGCTGATTTGTTTTTGTATTCCTTTAATAAGTATAGTTTTGATTTCTCATATGACCATTAAGTATAAAGGAAAAATCATGACTTTCCCAATTAATGCAACTACTTCTAAAGCATAGATCTGTTTGCTCTAAATGCAATGATTCAGCTGTGGAGTGTAAATTGTTAATGTCTAAAGAAAAACTCCCTGTATTCCTGTCAAGGAAGTTTTTGAGAAATTAAATTAAAATCTAGAGAAGAAAAATTAATGTTAAGAAGATAGATTAGTGCTTAGTACTGGGCAACTTGTTCTTGTTCCTGTGCACAATGGTTTGTGCTCTTACTTTTGTTTGATTAAAAGTAATAACAAGTCAACCCCTTGCTGTAACCATGGCACCGGTTCCAGTCAGTAAGTCAAGAAAGAATAGTCAAGGTATAGGCCAATAGTTTGGGACATTTGTAACTATTATTAAAAGTTAACTAAGCAGAAACTGCTCAAAGCAAAACGCGAACTGAAAGTACAAATGCTTGCTTATGCATAAGCCAAGATACATTATTCTATTCTAATTGTAGCTACGTAATATTTTGTTTTGTTTGAATAATGATTCCTGTTTTGTAACCACAAAGTACTGTAAGCCTGCCAAAATGAAAAGTATATATGATCAACTTCACAAGTAAAGATTGGGATCAACACCTTCACTTTGGTGTCTGTGTTCTTTCTCCACCCCCTCTTTCGCCGACTCCTCACCATCCGTTCGTCTCCTGAGACCCCGTTGGAGCTGGTCTCCGACACCTTTGATTTCATTAAGGTTTTTTTTCTCCCATTACTGAGAATTGAACCCGAGGCCTTGCACATGCTATATTTCTAATTTTTTTAAAGCAATAGTCTGGAAGAGAGTAAGGAAAGGTACTAGGAAATGAGATTAATCAAATTATATATGAACATAACATAATGAATCCCACTACTATGGATAATTGTAATGTGAAAAATTTTAAAAAGGCAATAGTCTTTGGGAGCTGGCAGTGTTGAATTACACTGGTGGATTGCTTGCCTAGCACGTGTAAGGCCCTGGGTTCAATCCCCAATACCATGGGTGGAGTAGGAGGTGGAGAGTGATTTTTTTTTTTTTTAAACTTTCAGTGACCGAGTCAAGATTCTCTCAAAATTATATTTTAAAAATTACATTCTGAGTTTGGGGTTGTGTCTCAGAGGTAGAGCGCTAGCCTAGCATTTGTGAGGCACTGGGTTCGATCTTCAGCACCACACAAAAATAAAATAAAGGTATTGTATCCATCTACAACTAAAAAAAGAAAGTTACAATCTGATGATTAAACCAAGTAATTAGTTTTTTCCAACAAAAGAAATGCATTCTAAAAAGTTTGACCATCAATAAGAAAACGTTACATGACTCAAATTTTTTGCCCTTTTGCATTCTTTACTAGAAGATTCTTTTCTGTCTTTTTTTTTTCTATAACAAGTATTTCTCTTCCATTGCTGAGCTATCAAAAACCGTCTTTATTCTTAGATCATGATTATCTTTCATTGAGCTTTACAATTGCACTCCACAATCAAATGGAGAATTATTATTAACTATTAGTGGTGTTCTCTGATACTAGCACAGCATAACATTTTTTAACTATTTTTTTAAGTTAAAGACCAAAACTACAAAAATTTGACTTTTGCCCTATAGTTGGATAGTTTATATTACTAAATATTTTTCTTAAAGCTCTGTTAACTGAATCAGTTGGTAAATCAGAAAGGCATTGCAAATATAGAAAAAGGTGGCTAAAACTCATAGGTCTGGGGGCTGGTTCTATCTAGCAGCACGTCAACACTGTACAACAAAGAAGATACCTTCTTCACATCAGCTATCCGTTCCTTCTTGGATGCTGGCTTCTCTTTGGCTTCTGGAAGAACTGGTTGGGATTTGGAACCTGCAGATTCACTCTCAGATTCTGACTGACTCTCAGAAGATTCAGAACTGCTGTTCGACTCGCTCCCATGTCCACCTCCTGGATCACTGCCCTGCTCACTTTCCGACTGGCTGCCTGAATCTGAACCTGAAGCTTCTTCAGAGGCTGAATGACTTGATTCAAAAAGGGAGAGAAGAGAGGCAGACACAGAGATTTAAGAACTGCCACATAAATCTATATTTTTAAAAATTCACATGATAAAATATCAGCAGATAATAAGTTTAGTAACATAAGAGCAAAATCCTCAAATTCATTTTTAAATGTTTATAACACAAACAATGTTATTGATATTATTCAACAATCCCAACAGCTACCTCAAATGCTTCTATGATGCTGTGTATCAGCTAATCTTTAAGATAGACTAGTTCTTTAACAAAGACCCAAAGGTGAGCCAAGCACAATGACACATACTCATAATACTAGATGCTCAGAAGGCGGAGGGAGGAAGATACAAATTTGAGATCAGCCCGGGCAACTTAGTGAGACCCTGTCTCAAAAGGGCCGAGGATGTAGCTCAGTAGTAGAACAAAGTAGTCTTGGGTTTAATCCCTAGTATCAAAAAAATAAAAATAAGAAGGACCTGAAGTTTGATACTGCTCCCTTTATTTTTTTTATTATTAGTTGTTTAAAACATTACATAGCTCTTGACATAATTCATACATTTGATTCAAGAGGGTTATGAACTCCCATTTTTACCCCGTATACAGACTGCAGAATCACATCGGTTATACATCCACATTTGTACATACTGCCATACTAGTCTGTTGCATTCTGCTGCCTTTCCTATCCTCTACTATCCCCCCTCCCCTCCCCTCCCCTTCCCTCTCTCAACCCCATCTACTGTAGTTCATTTCTCTCCCTTGTTTTTTTTTCCCCTTTCCCCTCACTTCCTCTTATATG